TTTTTTGGGATAAAACCCCGACTTCCTTCTGCGGGTGCTGAAATGCCCCCCAGGGTTTAACACTTTCCCCAAAAATTTTTTTTAAATTAATAACAGAAGAAAAATTTTTTTTTATTATCACCCCGGCCCGTTTTCCCCCCAAAGGGCAGGGGGGGCCCAAAAAAAAAAAAGAAAAAACTTTCACCATCATTCACCCTTTCACTGTCTTGCCAGAAGGGGGGCTTTACACTACATTTTTTTAAACTGAAACCCTTAACCCCCCCTCCTTCAGGTGCGGGCCCTTTTAATTCCCATCTCCAGGGACTCAAGCCCGGCCGGCCGGGGTTTCCCCTGAATCCCCTTCAAAAAATGTTATTTGCCAACCCCAACGCACGTCAATTTTAAAAAAAAACCTTTGGGTCCCCCTTTTTCACTCCTTAAAACACGCTAAACGCTTTGCCTGCGGAAAGGTCCAACCCCCTTTGCACCCCAAAACCCCCTTTTTCCCCCTCCCCCCAACCCTTTCCCTTTGGCCCCCCCTACCCCCCCTTCCTTCCACTACGGGATTTGATACCCCTTTTTAAGCTTTTCTGTTTCGCTCCATTCTCCTAAATGTCCAAAACCCCCTCAAAAAACCCCTTTCCTCCCCCTTTGGGACAACATTTTGGGGTAATCCCCACCTCCCCCCTAATTTCCAAACTACGAATTTTTCCTCTTTATTTTCCCACACCACCCCATTGCCCTCAGACATGACATCTCCACTGCCCCACCCTTTCTCCCTCGTGAAAAACATTCATCACCCACGCTTCACACCCTTTATAAAGCTTGGGGTTAAAACTATACTCCTTTACTTTCCCCCCCTTTGCCTCCAAGGACAAAGTTCTTTGTCTTCCCCCAAAATCCAAGTGCACCCCCTTTACGTTTTTTTTCCCCCTCACAAAATTTTTATATTAAACCCCATCTTTCATAGACCCCTCCCGCTGACAGTCCACTCCCAAATATCTGAATACGTTTTACCTCCCCATACTTCTCCCCCAATCCTGATTAAATTTAATCTTTTATTTACCTAAACTTTTTTTTTTATCCCCATTTAAACCCTTTTCTTTCCCCCGTAATTTACCTTTAAAAAATTTTTCTTTTGCACACCCTACCCAAAATTTATCCCCCAATCTCTGAAAAATTCCTTTTAGAATCTCCCAAGAGCACAGTGTCATCAGGGAAAGAGCAGCTGTGACAACTCCCAAATTTGGGTGTGATTCTTTATTTTTAACCCCCCACGCCTCTTTTCCAAGACCCTCGCATTTACTTCCTTACAACCCCCTCTTAAATATTTAAACAACCAAAGGGGACATCACACTCCCTTTTCTAAGGCCTACTTTTTTCTGGGAAAAAATTTCCCTTTTCCCCCACATACTCTAACTTTGAGCCTCACTATCCCCCTTTAAAAAAAATCTTTTACTGCTTCAGTAACCTACCTTTCCTTTCCCCCATACCTTGCAACAAACCCGCCCCCATTTTCCCCCCTATCCAAACCCGTCATAGCCTTTTCCAAACCATAAAAAGCCACCAAAAACCCCTTTAGCCTTTTTAAAATAAATGTTCACTTATTTTTCACTGTAAACCAAACCCGGTCCACAAAACCCCCCCAAACCCTTTCCCAAACCCCCCTTTTTTCATTGCCCATCCTAAATTTTTCCGTTTCTCTTTAAATTTTTTCAATTATAACTCTACCCCTTACACTTTAAACCCGGGACACTCAACAAATTACCCCCATAATTTTTGCACTCTCTTTTAAACCCCTTTGCCCCTTTTTTTCAAAGGGGAAAATATGCATGCTCTTTTGCCAATCCCCCAGGTTTCCCCTTTCCCTCTTCCATACATTTTTAAAAAATTGCACCAAAACCCCTTCCCAAAACTATATCCCCCCCCTGCTTTTAAAAAATTTCTATCTTTTTCCCCCAATCCCGGGTGCCTTAAACCCCCCTTTTTTTTTAAACCCTTAAGCCTCACGAATTCCCCCACACTCACAAGGGGTCTTCCTCACTCCAAAAAGATGTTATTTCCCCCTTTCCCCATTCACGAAATCACAAAGGGGTTCCCTATCTTCACAACATTTAACAATTCCTTTAAAAATTTTTCCCTTCCCTCTTCCCAATAAAAACTAATCTCCATTTTAAAAACTCTCCTCTCCCCCAAAAACAGAAAAATAAAAGACTCAAAATGAAATGAAGTTTTTTAACTATAATTCTTTTTCTGCCTTATACCAATTTTCACGTTAATAACAGTCTTTTAAAAATTTTAACCCACCCTTTTACGTGTGCACGACCCTCCTTTTGGTCACCAGCACAGTATCCATAAAATCGGTTTATATTCAATTTATGGATTAGGAAACCCTGAAAGTTCCCGCCAAAAAAGCTGATTCTGCCTGTAATGTTAATGTAACATTTGGAAAAAGCAAAAATTTTTTTAGTTTTGCTAAAAAAATGCCCTAAAGCTATCGGGAGTTTCTGCAATTGCTCCCCCCAATTTTCCCAAAAAAATGATAATTTCCTGCTAAAAAACAACCTTTTCATCCACTTTTGGGCCCCCTTTTTTTTTCGCTTTAGGGAAAAAAGAAGAAAAAATTTGGATATTAAATCAGGTAGGTAAACTTCAAAATTTAAAAATTTTGTTTAAGAGCAAATGAAAAAATTTTCTTAAGACAATTTTTTTATCTGTTTAATTTTGTGAACAGCTGTAATTTACATTGAAAAAATTTAAAAATGTTTTAAAAAGGGGTTAAATTTTATCTTAGAAGCACAAAAAAAATATAAACAAAGGAAAACTTTCCCCCCCCCGGGAAAAAATGAAAAATACACCCTGCAAAATGCAAAAAAAGTTTTTTTTGAAGAATTTTAAAATTTTTCATTATTTATAAAAACAAGTAAAAAACCACAAGAGTGTGTTTTCAAAGTATACAGGGAAAAAAGTTTACCCAGGGGGGAAAAAAATCAGAATATGTTTAAAAAATAAATAGGGAGAGCAAGGCCCAAAAAAGGGGGAAAGCTACCTTATCAAATCAAAAAACAGGTGGGGCCCTTTGGGTCCAAAGGCAAGTGAGTCCTAAAACTTGTAAAGGGCCCTTGGTTAACCCCTCGGCCAAATGGCTCTTTAAAAAAAAGGGTTTGTTTAAAATAGGTATTTAAAAACCACAGGGAGGTTAGCATGGGGCCCCCCTGTGACCCCGGTTTTTACAGAAAAATTTCCCCCACTAGGGGTGGCTGTGGCATACTCAAGTCCCTTCAAAACCGCCATGAAATTTTTTAGATTTCGTGGGCCCCCCCAAAGGGGGGTTCCTTGATGTTTTGGGGAAGGGGGCCCTTGGGTTTTTGGGGAAATTGGGAAACTGTGGGTTTCCCGTTCCCCCAATTTAACCTGAATGGGCCCTTTCCCCATCCCCCCCCGGGCCCCCTGTTAATCCAAAGGGTTTTTAAAGGCTTTTCCCCCCTTTATTATAATAAAAAAATGAATTTTGTGAATAAAAATGCTACCTTTTCCTATGTTGGAAGTAGGAAAGGGTTCAGATGTGAGGAACCTGCCTGTATGTGGTGGCACACATGGTTTGTCTGGGTGCTCTGCCCTACTGGTTGCTGTATAGCTAGAACACTCAGAAAAAATGTTTTAACACACTCATAGCATAGGAATCACAGCACTGGCACACACTTGCATAGCATAAGTAGCACCTAGATGCAGATAGATTATCAAACAAGAGTGATAAGTTGAAAGAAGAAATAGCTGAGGTAACCCTAGACATTGTAGCTATCACAAGAAACAAAGCTAACAGAAATATCAGATGCCTTATTTCCAGCAGGATATAAAGTGATGAAGTAAACAGGAAACAGGTAAGGTGGGGGAGTAACACTGTTATAAGAAATCAGTGGAGTTTTATATAGGTGAGAGGGATAAACAGACAAGAAGGAAAACCCCTCATAATGGGCTTAGTCAAGACTAGGGGACCAAAAGTAGTTGCAGAGATACACAACCCACCGCACCTAACAATAGGAGACCAAAGCTGGAGTATGAAGACAACAGTGATGGTTGACATCATAGCAAAAGTAACTAGGAGTGCACATAGGGCTAAAGTAAAGCTACCTATCATGGGTGACCAACTTCAAAAACATATTTAGGAGAACTGTGACCCATATATGATACCAGAAACATAGAGGGCTAAGTTGACAGAGGTGATTTAGAAAAATTTTTTTGAGATGGGACACCGGCACTGCCACCTACACCTTTTTGCTGCTGGCTTTCATCCCCCACCAAACCCCTCCACCTCGTGCCTGCTCCCCTCCATTGTTCAGTCTCCACCTCCCATGCCAGTATTTCCCCAATCCCTACCCCAGCCCACACGAAACCCCTCACCCCAACTATTCTAGCCTCTCCTACCTAACCCCTCCTGAGTACACCCCAACTGCATTAACCCCTCCTTTATAACCCTCATAAAGTTGCTAAGAGTGCAACAACTGAACAATAAGGCACCTCCATCTGCTTGCAGAGAAGTAGATGAGAGATCTTTGACTGACACGCACAGAGCTACAATCACATTATAATTTTTTTAAGTGTAAGACTTAAAAAAAAATTTGGTTGCCCTTTTTTGGGTGTAAGGAACGTAACCCTATTTTTCCCATATGTATTCAATTCATTTTACTCAATTTTTCATTACATGTCATTTTCAAGAATATAACTACCATGTTAACCGATGGTTAACTATTTATATAGTAGAACCTCAAATTTCGAGCTTAATCTGTTCCAGGAGTTAGTTCTAAATTCGAAAAGTTTGAAAAGCGAAGCAATATTTCCCATAAGAAATAATGGAAATACAATTAATCCGTTCCAGAAACCCAAAAATATTCACAAAAAAATACATTTTATAGAGATTAATTATAGTTTTACATACACACAACAAATATAGTGTACAATTATATATTAATAAATTTAAATATATAAAATAACATTTTTACTTACCTTTATTGAAGATTGGTGATGGCATCTGGAAGATAGGGAGGAAGAGAGAGGGAGTTGGGGTTAGTGTTTGGAAGGGGAATCCCCCTCCATAAGGACTTTAGGTATCAAAGCCCTCTCTGGGGTTACTTCCCTTCTCTATCTTTTAACCCTTAAACGGTCCAAACGTATACAGTATATATGTTCACTCGCGTAGCGCCCCAAATTTTTTGAGGAGAAAAAAATCTTTTCTTTTAAAAGGAAAAAAGAGCATATGTTACCCAGGCATGCCCAATTATTTTAATATGGCGCATAGTGAGTGCGCACACCCATTCTCTCATGTCTAGGTGACTCAGGCTTATTGTGGCAATGTTGAATGAATGACAAAGAAAACGTATATATACGTTTGGGGTGCTACGCACATGAACGTATATATACGTTTGGACCGTTTAAGGGTTAATGCCACTAGGACCAGCCTGAGAGTCACTGGACCCATCTCACAAAATAACTGTCCACAGTCCTCTGTTTCTGGCACCTCTAAGATTTTCCTATTTCCTTCTTCGCATCTATGGTGTTTCTCACTTTTTTTTTTATCACAGGGGTACCACTAGTAAGTTTCTTTGGGCCTATGGTAGCTTATTTCACAGTACCACAAGCACTAAACACAGTGAATTAATCATAAAATGTTTGAATGAGACCGCAGGTTAGTGTTCACTCAAGCATCAACAAAGCCGGACTGGCTCACGGCGCCTGCGCAGGGACGTGGACAGAGCAGGCTGGAGGAAAGGTCCGGTACACGGCGGTTCAAAAATAGGGGCAAGTTCGATAATAGGGACAAAGTTGGTTCGAAAAAAGCGGTTGATTTTTGAAGAGTTCGATAAGCGATACGTTCGAAATTTGAGGTTCCACTGTAGTATTTCATTTTATTAACACGTCGGCCAATTCCCAACAAGGCAGGGTGACCCGAAAAAGAAAAACTTTCATCATTCACTCCATCACTGTCTTGCCAGAAGGGTGCTTTACACTACAGTTATAAAACTGCAACATTAACACCCCTCCTCCAGAGTGTAGACACTGTACTTCCCATCTCCAGGACTCAAGTCTGGCCTGCCGGTTTGGATGAATCCCTTCATAAATGTTACTTTGCTCACACTCCAACAGCACGCTAAGTATTAAAAACCATTTGTCTCTATTCACTCCTATCAAATACGCTCATGCACGCTTGTTGGAAGTCCAAGCCCCTCGCACACAAAACCCTTCCTAGGCCGACCCCTACCCTGCCTTCCCTCCACTACAGATTTATACATTCTCGAAGTCATTCTGTTTTGTTCTATTCTCTCTACATGTCCGAACCACCTCAACAACCCCTCCTCAGCCCTCTGGATAACAGTTTTGGTAATCCCACACATTCTCCTAATTTCCAAACTATGAATTCTCCGCATTATATTCACACCACACACTGCCCTCAGACATGACATCTCCACTGCCTCCAGCCTTCTTGTTGCAACATTCACAACCCATGCTTCACACCCATACAAGAGTGTTGGTACAACTATACTCTCATTCCTCTCTCTGCTTCCACGGACAAAGTTCTTCGTCTCACAGACTCCTAAGTGCACCACTCACCCTTTTTCCCTCATCAATTCTGTGATTCACCTCATCCTTCATAGACCCATCTGCTAACACGTCCACTCCTAAATATCTGAATAGTCTCCATAGTCCTCCATAGTCTCTCCCTCCAATTTGATATCAAGTCTTTCGTCACCTAATCTTTTTATCCTCATAACCTTACTCTTTCCTATATTCACTTTTAATTTTCTTCTTTTACATGCCCTACCAAATTCATCTACCAACCTCTGCGACTTCTCTTCAGAATCTTCCAAAAGCACCATGTCATTTAACTCCACACCTCTTGCCAAGACTCTAGCATTCACTTCTCTTACAACCCCATCTATATAAATAAAATCTGATTCCAACAAGATTATCCAAATTATCCAAAAGCTTACACTGCTATTGATAAAAGTATGACTCACCTTAATAAGGATGTGGAAAGTTGGAGGAAAGATAAATATAAATGGTGTCACTAGCAGGCCACCCACCAATTCAATGGCAACTCCAAAATGTGGAATAGATTCACATATGAAAAGAACCAGAAGCATGACTGTAGTTCGAAGACAGATGCGCCTCCAACCAAACTCTGAAACATTGTGAATGTTTGTAAATACTGTGCAGAAGCATAATTATAACTGTCTAATGAAGAGAAACTCAGACTGTTGCATATACAGTGGAACCTTGGCTTACGAGTGCCCCACCATATGAGTTTTTCAGGATATGAGCAGTCGCTCAGTCGATTTTTGGTTCTGGATACGAGCCAAAATTCAGGATGCGAGCTTTTCCCTCAAGGGCGGTTCCTTGATGCTGGTGAGGGGTTCTTGATCTAGGGAATTCTATCTGTGTTCCAGTTCCCTAAATTAAGCTTGAATACCTTCCATCTCCTCCCCCCCCCACAGGTGCTGCATAATCCTACGGGTTTAGCGCTTCCCTGGAGTTTACGTAATATAATAATACACTCTTCCACCCAACCAATCACAGTAGGAGCCCCACAAGGAAGCATCCTTGGACCACTCCTCTTTCTCATCTACGTCAATGATCTACCATATGCATCACAGCTACTCAAACCCATATTATTTGCAGATGACACTACATATGTCTTTTCCCACCCAAACACAGTCATACTAGCAAACACAGTCAATGCTGAATTACAGAAAATATCTGCCTGGATGATGACTAACAAACTTACCCTGAACACTGATAAAACCTATTTCATTCAGTTTGGAAACAAAGCTGCAAATGATCCAATTAACATAACGCTAAATGGATCATCAGTCACAAGACTCTCAGAGGGAAAATTCCTAGGTATCCACCTTGACAGCAGCCTTAAGTTCTGGACACACATACAACAAATCACCCAGAAAATCTCCAAGACTGTAGGCATACTATCAAAGATAAGGTACTACGTTCCACATCAAAACTGAAACAATCACTTTGAACCTTTTATCCATTGTTGACAGGAATAAAATCAAATCATTGTTTTCACAAAAAGTATTTTCGAATATAAATATATCTTTGTATTATACAAATTTTGATTCATTCATAATTAATATTCTACTGTACAACTATGAAATAATTACTATCCTACTGTACAACTATGATATACTCCTTAGTTAAGTAGACTTTAAGCCAATAATGTTAAGTTGGCCCATAATGCCTAGGCATAATAGAGGCTCTCTTTGCATTGCAACCCACTATTGTAAATATAAAATCTCAATGTACTGTTTGCAAAGACAAAAATAAATAAATAAATATAATAATAATATAATATAATAACAAGTGAGCTTCAGAATGCCACCACGAGATGACAGAGTACCATAACAAAGCTCAGAGCGGGCGCGGGAATGCCCGTCACTACTTGTCACATAATGTCATACGTATTTTATTCATTCTAGAGTGTATATCAGGTTTCTATGTTATTTATATTGTTTATCATGTCATAGTAGATGAATTGTGATAATAACAAGTGAGCTTCAGAATGCCACCACGAGATGGCAGAGTGAGTAGAGGTCGGCCATCACTAATCCAGCATCATTGGGACCTGTAGTGTGCCCGATTAGTGAGTTTGTCGGATTACAGAGTGGTTATGTTAGAATACATTTAATTAACCTATCAGTACAGACACTTTTTGCTACATCTTCTTCATTTTCATCACTGTTTTCTCCTCCACTGGCTTGCTGCTGTGGATTTACAACCATCTGCACAATTTCTGAGTCAGTATAATGATGGAATTTGAGTCAGTATAATGATTTGAATCAGTATAACGAAATTTGAAATTATGCTAGCCGAATTTAGTGCCGGATTACTGATGGAACATGATAACTGATTGCCGGATTAGTGATGGCCGACCTGTACCACAACAACACTCAGAGCGGGAGCGGGAATGGCCGGCACCACTTGTCACATAACGACATACATATTTTATTCATTCTAGAGTATATATCAGCTTTCTATGTTATTTATATTGCTTATTATGTCATATTAGGCATAGCCCTTGTGGCTTAGCGCTTCTTTTTGATTATAATAATAATATGTCATATTAGATGAATTCTGATAGATACATAAGCCGTAGAGTTGATATTAGCGTTATATTGAAGTATATTTTGTCCTGCCTTCTGAGAGCAGGAATTCCGCCAGAACGGATTAATGGCATTTCAATTAATTTAAATGAGGAAAACTGACTCAGCACATCAGCAAATCGGGATACGAGCTAGATTATGAAATAGATTAAACTCATAAGCCGAGGTTACACTGTATGTACATAGGTACAATTCATACAAAACAGTCTGTAAATAGACAACTACAAAATTCAGTGAAAGGGAGCCTACTTGCTTATCCTATTCTTTTTAAAGAAAAAATCTTGGTCAGGCTCTTTAGATTGTGAAGTGGTAAACTATGTCACTAAAAGTCAGTAAAGTTAGCCATGGAAGTATGACAAAGGCTGCCAACGAGGGCCAAGCTTTAATTATAGACATTTCTGGATAAAATGTACGTCATAAAGCTTGTCTCAAGCACACAATCCCAACAAGTTTAGAATTATCATGAGTATATTGTCCCAAATGAAATATACACATAAAGGCTTGTCCCTGTGTGCAGGTGCTCTTGACCCCTACAGGTTTAATATTTCCCAATGAATATAATAATTATTCCTGTGTGTTATTTCACAGTTAGGCACATTAAATTCAAGACTAAAGTAGGTCATGCTCCTTCTGTGGGCAGACAGTTTCCTAAAAAGGACGTGAAGTCTCTATTGATACTTTCTTGGATTTTATTAGCTAGTGAAGTGAATATTGGTTTTATTGGCTACTGAAGCTGTTGAGGTGCTATCCACAGCAGCTATTAACAGAACTCCAAAACTTATGTATCACTAAAATAGATTTTTTATACATCCCTTGTTTAGCTAATGGCAATACCCAACTAACACCATGGAGCTCTTTCCAATTCCTCAAAAATGTTGAAAATGTACGCACTTGAAAATCGGGGATCCACTGTATTATCATCATTATTATTATTATATACATCCCCAACCTCTACCTCACAGCCCCAAAATATATATATATAAAAAAAAAAAACATTCTCTACTCTGAAGTCTGATATCTGCTCTGAACTTGAATAAACTCACTTTGGATGCCCTACTTTTCACCCTCTTACCTGGAGTTTACCTGGAGAGAGTTTCGGGGGTCAATGCCCCCGCGGCCCGGTCTGTGACCAGGCCTCCTGGTGGATCAGCGCCTGATCAACCAGGCTGTTGCTGCTGGCTGCACGCAAACCAACGTACGAGCCACAGCCCGGCTGATCAGGAACTGACTTTAGGTGCTTGTCCAGTGCCAGCTTGAAGACTGCCAGGGGTCTGTTGGTAATCCCCCTTATGTGTGCTGGGAGGCAGTTGAACAGTCTCGGGCCCCTGACACTTATTGTATGGTCTCTTAACGTGCTAGTGACACCCCTGCTTTTCATTGGGGGGATGGTGCATCGTCTGCCAAGTCTTTTGCTTTCGTAGTGAGTGATTTTCGTGTGCAAGTTCGGTACTAGTCCCTCTAGGATTTTCCAGGTGTATATAATCATGTATCTCTCCCTCCTGCGTTCCAGGGAAATACAGGTTTAGAAACCTCAAGCGCTCCCAGTAATTGAGGTGTTTTATCTCCGTTATGCGCGCCGTGAAAGTTCTCTGTACATTTTCTAGGTCGGCAATTTCACCTGCCTTGAAAGGTGCTGTTAGAGTGCAGCAATATTCCAGCCTAGATAGAACAAGTGACCTGAAGAGTGTCATCATGGGCTTGGCCTCCCTAGTTTTGAAGGTTCTCATTATCCATCCTGTCATTTTTCTAGCAGATGCGATTGATACAATGTTATGGTCCTTGAAGGTGAGATCCTCCGACATAATCACTCCCAGGTCTTTGACGTTGGTGTTTCGCTCTATTTTGTGGCCAGAATTTGTTTTGTACTCTGATGAAGATTTAATTTCCTCATGTTTACCATATCTGAGTAATTGAAATTTCTCATCGTTGAACTTCATATTGTTTTCTGCAGCCCACTGAAAGATTTGGTTGATGTCCGCCTGGAGCCTTGCAGTGTCTGCAATGGAAGACACTGTCATGCAGATTCGGGTGTCATCTGCAAAGGAAGACACGGTGCTGTGGCTGACATCCTTGTCTATGTCGGATATGAGGATGAGGAACAAGATGGGAGCTAGTACTGTGCCTTGTGGAACAGAGCTTTTCACCGTAGCTGCCTCGGACTTTACTCTGTTGACGACTACTCTCTGTGTTCTGTTAGTGAGGAAATTATAGATCCATCGACCGACTTTTCCTGTTATTCCTTTAGCGCGCATTTTGTGCGCTATTACGCCATGGTCACACTTGTCGAAGGCTTTTGCAAAGTCTGTATATATTACATCTGCATTCTTTTTGTCTTCTAGTGCATTTAGGACCTTGTCGTAGTGATCCAGTAGTTGAGACAGACAGGAGCGACCTGTTCTAAACCCATGTTGCCCTGGGTTGTGTAACTGATGGGTTTCTAGATGGGTGGTGATCTTGCTTCTTAGGACCCTTTCAAAGATTTTTATGATATGGGATGTTAGTGCTATTGGTCTGTAGTTCTTTGCTGTTGCTTTACTGCCCCCTTTGTGGAGTGGGGCTATGTCTGTTGTTTTTAGTAACTGAGGGACGACCCCCGTGTCCATGCTCCCTCTCCATAGGATGGAAAAGGCTCGTGATAGGGGCTTCTTGCAGTTCTTGATGAACACAGAGTTTCCATGAGTCTGGCCCTGGGGCAGAGTGCATGGGCATGTCATTTATCGCCTGTTCGAAGTCATTTGGCCTTAGGATAACATCGGATAGGCTTGTGTTAATCAAATTTTGTGGCTCTCTCATAAAAAATTCATTTTGATCTTCGACTCTCAGTCTGGTTAGCGGCTTGCTAAAAACTGAGTCATATTGGGACTTGAGTAGCTCACTCATTTCCTTGCTGTCATCTGTGTAGGACCCATCTTGTTTAAGTAGGGGCCCAATACTGGGCGTTGTTCTCGATTTTGATTTGGCATAGGAGAAGAAATACTTTGGGTTTCTTTCGATTTCATTTATAGCT